TAATCAACAAAAAAGCCCAACGCATCATTGTTATCACCTATGACTATCTCAAAACAATACAGTAATAATGAAATGGCTTGAAATATAAGTTTCAAAATGATTTCAACATAACAACTACTCGTATTTATATAGGAAATATTCAAAGTAGAAAATAATTATTTGTTATACTTATCTAGGTAATTATAAAATATCTCATATAATACTAAATTAAATATATAAAATTGGTTTAAAAGTTAATACAGACATTTTTATTGCCTCGTTAATAGAACTATTGCATTCAAAATAAATGATAAAAATCGTAAATACTTAATATTGGTTCTACATTATCTTCTCTGCTAATAAAACTAATCATAGTTTGTTAATCCACTGTATGTTCCATAACTCTGAATTAATAGATTGTATTATTTTTAGTTGTGCCATTAAATATAAGTTAGGTAAATAATAAAATAATAATTTACATTGTTATCTTTTTTTTTTTTTTTAAAATTGTTGTGGCTTATAAATTTAAAGCAGCTAACAGTTTTGAAGCTGTAATTGAAGTTCAAACTTTGTGAAATAAAAATTAAGAATTAATAAATGATTATAAAATTAGAATTAGAACATATATAATGACAGATTAGCTATATTCAATACATATATTTTGGTATGGTTTTAAAAAAATGAAGAAATTTCCTCATATGCTGGCAGCATAATTCAATATTGTATATAAAGCAATATCAATTTGATGGTTTTGTAGGTCCCACTTTAATTCAAAGCCTCGTGTAAGGTTGGCGCAAGTTTCTAAATAATAGCATCACTAATAAACATTTTTCCTTTAAAAATATCTAGGCATTAATTTTATCCAATCATTGAACTTTGATTATTGAACCATTATAATATCACCATTGATAAAGGTACGAGTATTTAAGTTCGGGATTTTAAAATCCAACAGTTGAAGTATACTAGTTGTCATAGTATTTGAGAGTTAATTCGGTTAATTGTAGAATATGGAGAGGTAGTATGAAATTTTTACTATGCTAACGATGAATTATAATTAGGATAGACTGTGCCCAAAATAAGTTCCTTTCTTTATTGGCAAGTTTTTCCAGATAGATCTTTCTAGCCATGATATAGTGTGCATTGAGAATACCGATTATATTGAAAAGTACTTTGAAATTTCTTCTTTCAAAAATAACTCGATATTATACTTTATAACCAGAAATCTCATTCGAAGTTAAGATCAATGCATTTTTTCTACGAAAAAATGAAACGAGTAAGAGTTTTCTAGGTATACAAAAATTGGACAAGAAAGTATCCGATCTTCTGTACAATTGTAAGAGTTAAGTGCTTCATCATTGAGTACCCATCCAAGGTCTTTGTAACGGATGGGTTAAATTCGAATACAATGATAAATCATCTCAAAAAAACGATTCTGATCGATAACTGTTTGTTAGAGTATATCACTCAGAAATAAGTAGGTATACATATTTATTATTTTATGACAATATATTATTTTTTTTTTTTGAATTAAGGTTTCAATTACCAAGGTCATTAATCTGACTTTTGGTACTGTTTGAGGGGAACGGTTGGTCGGAACGCGTTTGTATGTGTGGTGAGGGTGTGTTGCTAAAAACCCGGATGGTCACCCATCCGAGTGCTAGCAACGACTGCCGGTACGTACGCTCAGAGCGTTGCTGCAGGTTGAGCATACGACTGCGCCTCACCAAGCCATGGCAATATATTTTTAATGCTATTTTAGTAATTTATGAACCTATTAAGAGGACGTGATACCTGCGTCCGCTGCTGCATGTGTTGTCTCTGTCTTACAAGTGCGTAACATAGCAAATTTTACGCTCAGCACAACACGTGTAGCTCCGTTAGTTAAACAATTAGTGCGAATTGACCTCTTATAAAATCTAAAGGTAAGATTATTTTCTAGTCAACCTCATAGGTTTTTTATTATGTTTTAATTTTAACGCGAATTATGAGTATTTTAAAATTGTAAATTTTTTATACATCTTAAAATACTTATAACTCGCGTTAAAATAAAAATATAATAAAAAGCCTACGAGGTTGCCTAGATAATAATCTTACCTTTAGATTTTATAAGAAGTCAATTAGCTTTAATTTTTAAATTAACGAAGCTACACGTGTTCTGCTGAGTGTACAATTTGCTATGTTACGCATTTGTAGGACGGAGACAACACAATATGCGAGTATCACGTCCCCTTAATATTTTGTTATTTATTATATTATGCAAGTTTCCCTCAGTTTGTGTCACCCGAACTTAATGATAAGGACATGTAATTAAGACTTATTAATAACAATGCAAATAAAATTGATACTATAATATATATTTACAGTTGTTTACAATATGTTTCTGTTCAATTATTATGGATTTAAATAATGCTAATGCAAGAAGTGTGCTTTGTTTATAGCCGTTTTAATACAATTGTATGACTGTTTACATATTTTAGTTTTTTTTTTACGTCATCGGCCGTGTGAGGATTAACGTTTGTGTCGTCAGCTAGTCGTTTAAAATATGATTTGAAGTGTTTGAAAAAATTGTTTGTTTATTTTCTGGTATACTCGGTTATTGTATGTAAATTGAAGTTTTTATGGAGATCTTCATTACGAATAAATCATGGAGTATTTGATATTATCCTCAGAACTTTTTATTGAAAGACTTGCATTTTGTTTATGTGAGTTATAGCACAATTGTATAAAATAATAATAAGAGCAGGGTTTGCTTATATCAAATATTTTAGAGAATATAACTTTAGTTATAGGGTAATCGTATGTTGAATTTATTTTGGCCGAAAACATAACATTTATTATATAGTTAATATTCAATTATTTTAATATTATGTATTATTAATTATATCATATATTATTGTTATTAGCTTTTGACTCAATACCGACTTGCCGTGGAGCAGTGATAATAGATTCATGCTATAAGTAGGCTATAGTTTAAAATGTATCTAAATAGTTTGAAAATGGCGTTTTTATTTTTTGTTAATTTATATTACAACAATAAAATATAATGATATACGAGAGTCATAATATAAAATTTCGACTCTTTACCATAATTCATTTTATACCTACCTAAAACAAAAATATCAAAAAAATCAATTCAGTCTACAACTGGTTTTGTGTAAAAGTCCCTTTTTTCTCATTGTCGTTTCTAAAAGTATAGAGAATTTCAACAGATTTCACAATTTCTCAATGTTGGCGGTCTAAACCAGTGGTTCTCAACCCATGTGCCGCGAGATCGACTAGGTGTACCACAAGAAATGTCATACATGTATAGGCACGTGGCGATAACTATTACCTCTGGCGAAGTTGCCGAAGTTGCTATGGTTGTCAAGTGTGTGAGTGATGTGCCGTGAAAACTTGTAATGTACAATAGTGTGCCGTGAACAAAAAATATCGAGAACCATTGATTTAAACATTTGTTCTACAAAACCTGTATAAATTCAAAAAAAAAAGCACATCGTTGAAAAATCAGTACATTCAAAATGTATGAGAAATTAATTTATTATAATTTATTATAATTAATTATATTATTCTGAATATTTGATACATTTGCCATCTATTTCCACAACGATTGTGTTATTATAATATTATATCTTAATAGTTAAGTTTTATTAGTGTATAGTGTATACATAATATGCATTAGTAAACGAGATATGATTGTTTAAAATCAAGAACAGACCATTGTTTTAATTTATTGCTTTATTATATTATAAAGTGTTACAATCTATTGTCTGGAGGTACCAATCACGTGCTAACATATAGGAACTTATAAGTTATATTGTGCCATAAAAAAAAATATCTAACAATACAATTTTGTAGTATGTTATTTATTTATATACGTATTACAAAGTTATAAATTTGTTATGATTAGAAACTACTCGCTTAACTATACTACACTAATAATATTATAATTAACCCTAATAATTATGCCTTAAAATATTTATCAGATTTAAACTATATTAACAGTGATTAAAATATTAAATTATTTTTTTTAGTATAGATTTATTTTATGTTAACTTAAAAATTAAATTCAGTTTTTATTTTTAAAAACCGTAATGTTTCAGTTAAATAGTAAAATTATTTAGCAAAATAATGATTATTATCCAAGTTGTTCTTTCTCCTAACCTAAGAATCTTCATTTTTTGAAGTGAGCCTTTATATAGTTACTAAAATAAAATTATAATTATTGTACTACAAGACAGTATTAATATTAGGTACTTAAGTACTCTAAAAGTATTGAGGTAGGTATCTCGAAACGAACATAGTTGAACTTGAACTACAAAGTTCATCTATATTGTACAAAATATTTTTTTATTTTATAAAACACTCTTAGTGTAAGATAAAATAGATTCTTTGACTAGTATTTCAAATAATATAGTATTAATTGAGATAATTCATAAAAAAATTTAATTCTTTTCAATTCTTAGGTAATAGTTAGTGATTTTATTATTGACATTTTCAAATATTCTGAAATTGCGTATTCAACATTTGTTAAGTGTTATCTCTTTGAATTTTAAGTGTACTATTCGATCGTTTTAATGTCAACAATGATTCACACTTTGATGATATCTAAACATGCCCAGTCGGAAGTAAATACTACATTTAACATATTTACTGTAGGTAAAAATTTAGATATTTTAAACATGACTCTTGATAGCTATGTTTTTTTGAAAACTAAAATTCGACGAAAAGTTCTAAATAAATAAATAAAAGAGTACATACTTAGCAGATTAAAATGTATGGTAATTATTAGTATTTTAAAACAAAATATAATTGAATGCATTCTCAAATTAAATAATTCTGAGTTGGGTTTTTATAAATTTGATTAATGTAATAATATAGAACATAAAAAGGTACAAAATTAAAATAAAAGATACAAAATAGATTTCCTTATATTTACTTTGAAATAAAACATAATTAGCATGACGAAATGTCTACATTTTCATATTATAATAGTTTTCGTTTTTAAACATTTTTTTTTTTTTGATAGAGAGAGATAGAGATAAATTGTTTTTAATCCATCAGGAAACAATAGAATCCATAATCTTGGGTACAAAATACATTTCAAAATGCATATAATGTAAGGTACCTATAAATTGATTTTCGCGTTCAAAACCACCCCTATTGTGTAAATCCACGAGAAAAATAATATTTAAGACAACATAATGAGGATACCATATAGTATTATACCGGAGTATAGAAAATATTGCACAAAAGAACAAAATCCAATTATAAAGGAATAAAGGAATTGTATGAAATTATATTAAAATTACTATATTGTAACTAAAATTAAACTCAGATAAAATACTCGGAAAAACTATATAACATTTCACTTGTATTGAATATTTTAAAAACCCACCCGGCTTCCTTAAAAAAAAATTAATAATAATAAAATAATAATTATTATAGTGACAGAATACGGAAACAAAGTATTTGGCACTAGTCTTGCTTCTCTCGTCCGGCCCCGGTCCGTATTTTATTATTGTTTTCTATCTGAAAACAATGGTGAAACAACACATATTTAGAAGGCTGCATTGAATGTGAACTTAGAAAGGTTTACAATACTGTTCGTAAGTTAGATTATTCAAATTTTATGTGCCGAATAATAAATTATGACTAATAATAAAGTTTGTTGAATATGGAGTAATAAATAATATCACATGATATTTTATGCTTGTGACCTATTAAATTACCATAAATTAAAATATTAAAATACAATTTACTAAAAATTGGGTTAATGATCAATAATATTTCAATACAATTTAAATGTTTGAACTCTTGAAGTTAATATACGATTATACAGACAAATGTCTGATCCAACTCTCTAACTGTGATTGAATCAAGCAATTATATTAAAACTTGGACTGAACATTCTGATCCGAGATAAAAACAATTGTTTGAACTTAAAATGTTAAAAGGTTTCAAGATTGTCCAGATTTTGGTCAGTACAAAAGTTTTTTTTAAACACTATTTTTCCAAAATTCAGTATAACCGATTAAATATCAACTAACAACAAAGAATACTAAAAACATATAAAAGTATACACTTATAAAAATAATTATTAATTGTCAATCAATATCTATATGTATAAATGAACGTTTTTTTATTAGTTCGTGTTCTAATATTGAATAATTGATTAATAATATTGGGTTTGAAATAAAAATATTTTTTTTAAACAGCTCAGTTCCAAGGAATTTTTTTTATCATAATATATTTTTTTTTAAAAACCATTAAATTCGAAAATGATTAAAATGAATTATTAATTTCATTTTTGTAGAGGTTAGATTTTGTTCATTATTTTTAACTTTTGCACTGAGTTATATTTTGTATTTAAAAATGTATATTTGACTACTTACCTAATAGTTTTATAATTAATAAAGAATAATAAAAAAAATTCAAATTAATTTTAATTTAGTCTAATTGGTTATTAGTATTATTTTATTCAAGCCATCACCCTTAGACTACACAGCACAGTTGTAAGGACTTTGAGTAGTTGGTATAAAGCGCGCTTATAAACAATAGTTATCTTAATATTAATTAGTTTGTCTGTAGTAGTTCCCATAATATTAAAAAAGCAGTAGTTACCAATAACACCTAGGTACTGTTTCTGAAAATTATTGTCCATCACTTCCCAATTAATTTTAAATATGTTTCGTTGCTATAATAATATTAATATCATGGTAGTTTTTTAATTTTCCTTTTTTTCCACGGGTTTTTGAAAGAGCCACCCATTTTAACCGGAAGTGAATATTCGTCCCGGGCAAATCGTATGCGGCATTCAAATCCTGTACACGAAAGGCAGCGGTGGGGTTTTGGGCACAGCGAAAACGGGGCGGGAGACGTAAAATAAAAACAAATGAGCAATTATTATTCATAGCTCAGGCTTAGGGGAAATCCTTATCCGGTTCACTGCTGGCTGCGCACCACCGGGTGGGCAGAAAGGCCTAGATTTATGTTTGCAGCGTTTTTTCGGTGTCAAATTGTATCCTACGCCTGTAACGTTATGTTATTATAATATAATATATGTAATATCAGCAGCGCTTGGGTGCCCGGGCTCGGTATTTATTTATTACACGTCGTAATAACTGCGAGTCGCGCACGACCATTTTGTGTTCTGCAGACTGAAATTATTTTATATTTAATATTATCACGACGATCACGTGTGTAGTAGGTAGTTATAATCGTTGGCGAAAATTCCACGAAAGATATGCACTTGGGCGGGTGGTATACCAACATCGGAACTTATTCTAAAACCTCATACAACACTCACAAAAGTGTTTGTCTTGAACGCCCAAGTAACAATATTGATGTTTGCCTTATATATTTCTTCAGCAGTATTTTTTTGTTATTGTTTATCTTGAGTATGTAATTTGGACCAAAAAACCAAAAAAAAAATATATATTTGATTGGCGCAATCTTGTATTTACAAATACTGTGATGTGCGCCACTTTAAGAAAATTAATGATGATTGTTTTTGAAACATATTCATGTTAAATTGTATTTGATTCATAGATCAAGTTAGTTTTAATAGAAACATTTCTAGACAAATAATAAAGTAAAATAAAAAATGTAAAATATTTGTAATTGTTTTTGCATACGTACTTGTATATAAATGAGTAATATTTCAGTTAACAATCAAATATTATGAAAAAATAATATAATTTATTGTCCAATCATTCAATCGTCCATTCATTTACTAGCATATAACAGTCCATGCTATACTTTATTCTCGTTGGATACGGTAAAACCAATATAAGCTCGGTATATTTATCAGGTACATTGGAGCAATCGAAACTGAAAATGTGATTCAGATTACTGGAAATTACATGATGCTTTTTATATTTTGACTCGGATTGCGAGACGTACTAAAATCGGCTCAATATGCCATCTCCATATTTATCGTATCTATACACTTACAACCGATTTTGGATATTTGCGTCTGTGGTTATGATATGCGCACAACTCATCGTGACAATTTTGAATCATATTTTTACTATCACATGCACGTCACAGCGCTTGACTTCCGATTCCAACGGGTGATTCCAGGCGTCTCCTCCTGAACGTAGACGATACCACTCGTCACTGGCAATAATCGAAGACAAGTATCACTCAAATGTGTCTTTTTGTGTGCAGGCATATAGGTTGTAATTGCCATTTAAAGCTGAAAGATTATTTACAAAATGCATGCGAAAGATAACGTCTAAAGTTTCAATAAAATA